TTAATATTTTAAAATCATCTATGTTTAGTGAAATTATGAACGCAACGACACGAAATATTACGATAACTGTATTATTTTCGTACTTTATGTCAACTTTAGTTGTGTCAGGTTCCTTCATAAATACAATTTTTAATTATGGAGTAGCCAAAACACGTTTTATTGTCGAATTAAATTTAATAATTCGGATTAATATCTAAAATATTATGAAACTGAATCGTTTTATGATGCCACACATGTTAAATTTTTATATTCTAGATATTAAATCAATAAATTTGCACCTTAACAAACTATTAAGCAAACTATTCTTAACGATATTAAAAATTTAAGCGAGTTTTGTTGAAGTAATATTTTTATCAATATGTCGTATAGTAATAGAAGAACAAATTTTTTCGTGTACATGTGAGATGTAAGCAATCCTTATGATTTTAATACAATAACTTACCAAAAATAATTTTGTTAAAGACTCTGAGGGTTAATAAAATTGTAAAATTTTTTGAAATTTAAAGAGAAGTGTAGCATTTTCAATAGACGAAGGGCTGGGCGATCAGAATACAATAAGTACATTTTATACAACTGTTTTCGCAAAGCTTCTAAAATGAGCTTTGATATTAAAAAAATTAATATTGTCCAAAAAAAGAAAGAACTTTTTTCAAAAAGATTATTAAATGAGTCTACAATGTTTACTTGTAAAAGAAATAAATTGAATAATAATTTTTAATATTTATGAAGCATTTACGAAATATTTTTTTGCTGTTAACTTTCAAAAATCTGAAAAATAACGTTATACACAGAACCAAACGTCGACAATTTTGCACATTGTACGTAAATTTAAATTTTAAAAACAAAATCCTTGAAATGAGGGCAATAAATTTCAAAAACGAAATTTATCATACTCATTCAAAAACCATAGGTCCACGATTTATGGTCACTTATAACGTTTCCAATAAAATCTTTTAAAATCCGCTTCAATGTAGTAGGTCATATTATGATTATGTTTCTAATCCTGATGAATTTTATTAGATGTGTGCAATAAAAAATTGTTTTAATATCCTTGAAATTTTGAATAAAATAGATATATGAATAGACAAAATATATATTAATATATAAATTAATGAAATCGTTCTCACTTGCATCAGCACTTTAAGATTTATGTATGTAGATTAAATTTTGAAAGAGATGTGCAAATATCTTTATAAATTTTGGAGGTGGATTTTTCCAATTTATATTAAAATTAATGTTTATTTATACACACATATACTTCCTTAAGAATAAAATTATTTTATTTAACACAAACTTATTATTTTTAATTTTCGGAAATATTTTAAAATATAAATATTTTTTTTTTCTTTTGCAATTTCAATATAAATTTATAAAACACTTTGTTTTGTGAGTTTATTTGAAAATTTTTCTTAATACCTAATTTTAAATAATTTAAATGGCCGTCCACTACCGTAAAATTAAAGAAAATATATGTGTCTATGTATGCATAAACATATACATGAATTACATGAATAAAGTCGAATGATATCGGAGAATTGTGCTATAGTGTGGTATGAAACTAACTAAGATCTCATAATCGTATGTTATTCAAATTTCTATTGAGATAATCTATATTTAAACTTGAGTATAACAAATTTTATATTCTTCATATATTATAATTCAATTGCAGCTTTCGATTCCGTAATATTCCATCATGTAACCATGAAACAAAAAATTGGAAATGTAATTTTCTAGTAGACTATAATATCAAACTTCATGTAAGTAGACCTGTTGTTGTTATCGCTAATATTACAGCATAATTAATAACAATTTATTTTCTTTGGTTGTTGTTCGAATCAATATTGTTTACATTTAATGAAATTTTATTTTTAACTTTTGATTTCGGATTTTCGCAGTGACAACCATATAGCCGTATGTGTAGAAACAAATAACGTATATATTGTGTATGTATGTTTATGGAAATAAATTAAATAACTTCATTTTATATAGAGTTGAAAATTTAATTTTTATTTTGAAATATTATGATTTTTCTTTGTTCCTTAAAAAAATATCCTTTAAGAAAATAGGGGAAAAAAATACTTTTTCAAGGAATTAATTTTAATTTTTTTATGTTATATAATTTGGTTATAATTTTTTTTTGTTATATTTATTCCTACAGATGACATTGTTCAGTAAACTTTTTTACTATTTTGGGTAAACGTTCTTATAGATCTTGTGTCCTAGTATCCTTATTATAACGAAAAATTTTGTAATTTTGTTGTTGTATACTCTGCAATATTATTTCATCTTTTTTATTCTATCATTACTCTTTAGTTATCATTATCATTATCATCATCAATGTTACTTTCTATAGGCATAAAAGTAAGTTTTTGAATGTGTACGATGAAAATTTTTTTTGTTTTTTTTTTTTTTTTGTCTCTTGGATTATTTTACGATATTTTATATACATAATTTTACATAACATTCTAACGGTATATCGTTACCATTATCATAAAACGTTTTTATTATAACATGATAGAACTGACATCCGAACATTAATGTGTTTATACGTAAGTATTTACATACATTTAAACATACATATACAATATATAAAATTATCATATTTATTTTTTTTCCTGTATTGAGTAATAGAAGAAAAAACCTATATATTGCTTGGTTTATGCAGAAAAAGAAAACAACAAAAAAAAGTAGAAAAAGAAAAGATGACAGAAAAGGAAAAAAGAAAAAAAAAATAACAACATTAAAAAAAATTGACAATCTTGAAGAGTTCGTCTCTCAGTTATAAGCCGGATGTCTACTAAATCACACATATACGTTAAAGAAATATAGAGAAGAAAGAAAACAACAAAATATACAAATACAAATACACTTATATATAGAGACGGGAAAAACGAAACGAGAATGAAAAAAGAGAAATAAAAAATAAAGGAAAATCAAAAAGAAACAAAAATTAATTTTTTTTTTTTTTTGGAAAATATCGGAAAAATATGAAAAGAAAATATATAACTGTAAATAAATTATGAAATGTTCATTTAATCGTTGATCGCGTTCTCATCTGTAAAGTAGCACAAATTTTTTTTTTTATTTTGTGTATTGAGACAGTAAATATTAATAATATAAAAATTAATAATAAAAAATTGAAAAAGAAGATTTTAAATTGCAAAGTGTAAAAATCACAATTTCTATGATTTTTTATATAGGAAGTAAAAATTTTTAATAGAAAGTTAAACAAAAAACAATTGAAAATTAGAATTTAAATTTTAATAAAAATTATTTTTTAAAAATAGTAAACTTATTTATACTCAAGTCATTTATTTAGAATTAAATATTAAGTTGTGATTAGAGTGATTATTATAATCACTCTAAGAGTGGTGAGAGTGGCTATAATGAGGTCTAAGAGTGGACTTAAAATTTGAAGAGTAAAAATTGAACGAAATCAAGTACGAAATAAATATTTATAATATCCGTTGACATTTCGTTGACATTTTAAAGTTTCAATTACAGTTTCACTTTTGCCTATTTGTTTTTTTCGAATAAAAATTTCACTTAAAATATTGGAAATTACTTGGACATTTGTTATAATAAAATTTGTGTTTTAAATTGAGTTGATTAATAAATATATTTATATTGCTTAAAAAAGATCGTAATCTATGAAATAAAATTAATCAGACAAAAATTTTCTAGTTTTTGGAATGAAATTTTGTTTGATAGCTCATAAGGTTTTCTAATTGTTTATGAACTGTAATTAAATATAAATCAATTGTGAATGAAAATATTAATTAATTGCTTATTTAAAATATTAAATAAAATATTTTAAAAATTCAAAAACGATTCAAATACTGATTTAATAATTTTAATTAATTTAAATTACTAAAAAATTAACAATTTAAATAATTCTTTATGTACAAAATTTAATATCATTCATGAATTATAAAAAAAAAATATTTAATTGAAGAAAAAATAAATACGAGTAGCTTTGTTTTTTGCAAAAATATTTAATTAATTTTTGAACTGTAAATTATTCTGTTAATCATATAACTGTTATACATAATATATGTACATTTCATCACATTATTTATCAGATAATCTACTTGTTATATTAATAAATAAAAATAACATAAAAATAAAACTATAAAATAAACAAAAACCAAAAAAATAAAAAATAAAATAATTTTAATAATCCTTTCTGAATGAAAATCATATAACAATAGAATTATAATATTATATACATTATATTAAAAAAAAAAAAAATTATAATGGATCTACTATATTTTAGTTCAGGATTATTGAGTATATCAGTTTATATGTATTTGTCATGATAAAGCAAATTCTATGTACTACGGATTAATATTTGAATAAATGTAAATTTAAAATGATGATTCCATTTTATTTTATTCTTTATATATAACTGTTTTTTTTTTGTTTTTAAGTGAAATAGCATAAAAAAAAATTCCTCTTATATAACAAAGTATATAATATGGCATATAAATAATTTAATAATGTAATATACAAATATATAAGCTAATATATACAAGGTAAACCAATTGTGTGATTGTAAAAAAATAAAAAAAAAATAAAATTTAAATCAAAAAAATTTCTTTTTTTTTTATTTCCTTTAATATTCTTTTATTTTTAATTCATTCTAGTGAAATACGCTTAAATAACATTTTAATGTAAAACATATAGAGCGCGTTTTTACAACATTATAAATATTTTAATATATAATGTAAAATACGTGTATGTGCATATATTCATTCATATGTATGTTTATATGTAATGTATGTAATGTAAATTTACATAATATATTTTGTATGAATAAAATATATAATTATATTGAATAATTTTCGGTATAGAATTTCTAAAATAAATTATGCAAAATATTTGTGTGTTAATAAAAAGAAAAAAAAAATTTTTTTTTTAATAAGGATATAAAGTTTATATATGTATGAATCTAATTATATTGTTAAGGATATATGTAAATATAAAACAAAAAAAGAAAAACCAAAAAAAAAAATAATTAGGATATCTGTCAAAAATTTTTATAATCAACAAGTAAACGGAAGTGAACATTGTAAGTATGTAATTTATTATAATATTTTTACATTATTATAATTAGTATTTAGATATATGCACAAACATATAAATATACATATTTTTCGTTTCCTTTTTAATAAAAAAAAAAAAAATTTTATTTTTGTAATTTCATGATAAAATTCGAAATAAATTTTTAATGTAATTTATTTTTAAGGATATTATTAAAAGTGTTTTTATTATATAGGGTTATGTTTGATTTGAATAATTTTATGTCAACCTTTTTGAAGATATTCGAAAAAAAAATTTTTTTTTTTAATATTTTAAGGAAATTTGTACATTAATTTTATAAAATCATTGTACAAATAATTTTCAATATTTAATATTCATAAAATTATTTATTAATGCGAAATCATACTCATAAACGCATTTTATAACTGATAATAATGTCATGTATGTTCGTATTTTGTAATACAGTTCTTTAACAGTGAATACGAGAAAGATTAATATCTAACACGATTCATAGCTATAGTATAAGTAATGAATATGAAACACTGAATTTCGATATATTAAACTAATTAAATGTTAACGTGATCGACAGAAATTTCGAATATAAATTAAAATTACTCGAAACTCACAAAGGGGATATAAAAATTTTAATATTTCAACCAGATTTAAGCCAAATGTTTATGTGAATGTGGGAGACTAAATAAACTGGCAAGCCAACATTTTGAATTGTTCGAGGTGAACGTACACTTATATTTGAATTAAGAAAACCTTACAGCTCTATATATATATTACGAAAGATTCAGTTTTTCAAATTCCGTCAAAGGACTTATATTGAGAAAAGAATATTTACCAAAAATATCACATAAGTAAATTGTCTCCTCTTATATTTTTAATAAAATTTCTAAAAAAAATTAATTATTTCTAAAAATTTCATTCATTTCATTTTCACACCACAAAAAAATTACGATTTTAAACCAAAAATTGAATTGAAAAAGAATTCTCTAATTTTTTATTAATTAAATAAATTTTATTTATAATAGTGGAAAATATTATGTGATATAATATTTTCTGCACATATGTGATTATGTCGTATATGATGTAAGACTTATAAAGCGTATATACTTGTGTACCTAATTAGCGAGTAATATTATATAAATTCATTTTATAATATTAATTTTAATATTAATATTAACATATTTGTGTAATATGATGTACTTATACACACATTTTTATATGCTATACTTACATATAAAATTTAGTGTAACGAAACTCGATTCTAATTTAAAATATACAACATAAGTATTTATAATATTATGTACTTATAATTTATTGAAATTTCGTGAATCATTATTATACATCGTTAAGAATTCTAATAAATCAATTGAAAATTATCATTCCATATAAAAAAAAAAGAAAAAAAATACTACACGTGTACGATGGTTACTCTGAAAGTTCTAAAAAATCTCGTACTTCTTCTATGTTAATGAATAACAGATGTCGCTATTACAAAATTTAACACTTTTTTCTAGATTATGCAGTATTAGATTTGGAATAAAACATTACTTGATGACGTTTGCATTTAAGGCTTAAAAAATTTGAATTGCATCAAATTAAATTAATAATAATGTTATGGTCCAAGTAGCAATAATTTGATTCAAGTGATGTTTATCTAAGTATTTATTAACAACAGTAATTCCGGATTTTCAGAACCTTAATTTGATGACATAAGTGAGGATAATGATGCGCTAACTTATATTATTCCAATGATTCTCTGTGCGAGAAAATTTAAAAATGAAATTGATTCATGGTGTTATTTTGTCGAATTAAATTTCAACAATTTATAGCCTGATTAATTGGATATTAAAAAAATTAAATGTATCCAGTAATTTTCATACAATTAAAAATTATTGAGTTGGTGAGAAAACAGAAAATTATAGAAAGTGTTTCATATTAACTCGTTCAAAATAATGCAAATGTAAATTCATTTTAATTATAAGAATATTTTGAGAATCCCATGTTCTTGAAATTTTTACAGTAACCCTCGTATCAACTGTAACAAGATACTTGTTATTTCTTTATATTATATATTTCATCGAAATTGTGTGAAATGTGACACATTTTTAAAGAACATTAAATTATTTTTGCCTTAACTATATATTTATTATGACGAAATTTCACACGTTTATGTACGAACATCATTACATATTTACATATTATAATATGCAAATAATAATATGTACCTTCATGTATATACTTAATTTAAATATAAGATATAAAATACCATGTAATAATTTAATACACCATGTATTCGTATACTTCTAACTTATCTATTTATAATATTAATGTTATTGTTGATAATTTTCTATCAATTGCTTTTTGATATACAGTATATACGAGTACATACTATATTTTGTGTATACGTACTTATACTTTACGCGCTACTTTATTACTTTTTCACTTATTTATTCACTTGACAATATCTAAGTAACCTTTTTTTTATTCTATTATTCCATTATACAAAATATACATAAGAATTGTACATTATTGTGTATATATAAATCTTATAATATAATATTATATAAATCACATAATATATAGTCTTTATTAAAACTCTATAAATCAAAAATGTGTTAACTTTTAAGACTTTTTAATGATGTTGTATCCCATCTGTTCCACAAAAACAAAAAAAAAAAATTTCCATATTGCAAACCATTAAACCATATAATGTAAATATATTTTTTTTTTGAATTTAAAAAAAAAATTCCATAGAATAAATTTTTTGTCATGATGAGTTCATTTTCTGCCCTTAAACTTTGATCATTTTGTGCTATTTTTGGCGTATTATAAAAAGGAAGATGAACATTCCGTTCTAATACGTGCCATGTTAAGTGTCTTGAACATATTAGGAGAGTTTTCAACATCTAATATTGTACATGCAACATTTGAAATAAATTTTGGAAGTTTCAGTAGACAAGATTGATCTTAATTAAATTTTTCATTTTAAAAGGATAAAGGATAATATTTTGTAAACTTACTAAAATTCTCTGAAATGCTGAATTTCTCATTTCATGCTGAATTTAATATTCTCTTTTTGAATTTCAAAGCTCTAAGAATTTTTTAAAATTTTTTTCGATCGCGAATATCTGTTCATCAATCTGTAAAATATAATCTTGAAATAGAGTTAAATTTTTGAATTTTTTTATCTGATTAAAAAATGCAATGTTCTTTTATGTAAAATAACAAAAATAAATGAACAGACAATTTCCAAAATAAATAGAGCAGGTTTAAAAAAAAAACGGTATTTATTATTTCTTTTTCATTTTTGTGTTTTGCAAAGAGTAATGAGCTGAAAATTGAGAAAAATCTCATTTACTTCCTAAATAATATTATGCACAGATAACACAGAATAAAAAACAAAAAAGTAAAAAAAATGATTTTGAAGAATGAGTTGTGACATTTTGACGAAAATATGAAGAGAAAGTCTAAAATAATGTTGTCAGTCATAATGTGTTTCAATGATAAAGTGTTATTCCTTTTTATTTTTATTCTTATTTTTCATATTTTCCTTTTTGTTTTTTTTTTAAATTTATGTTGCTCTAAGGAATTTTAGATGATTGGCTTTTTAATAAATTTAATGGAATATAAAAAATGATAATTTATTGACATTTTATCGTAATTTATTTTTTATTTTGTTTTTTTTTCTTTCTTCCGAAAAATTGCGGCAAAAATAGACAAAATTTGAAAAAAATATCCTTTCTCTTTTGTCTTTTATACAATATAAAAAAAATTATTTCACTTAACAAAAAAACAAATTAAAATAAAATTAATTCAACATTCAAGAGAAAAATATTATTGTGCAGATGTAGATGTAGGGGGAAGAACAAGAAACAAGAAAAGAAACGAGAATTTATTAGTTTCCATAATTAAATGCCTTTTAAAAAATTTGTTACATAATTGAAAAGTTTTTTTTTTTTTGTCAAAACTGTGAACTGGAATTTTGTATATTTATCTATACAATAATTAAGAGCTTAAAATGTTTCTTACTCAAATTTATTTCTTCATTCAATTAAGATTCTAGATCAGATTATTTAATTTGTTTTTTGTTATTAATTGTATTTAAGTTTATAACAGTTTATAACCAGTTTAATTATTAATTTAAACATTAATTTTTCAGTACATTTTCAATAAAAATTGTTCTAAATTTACTTTTAATTTGTAAATTTCTTAAAAGACATTTCTTGACTTCTTTTTTGGTAATTCATTGTGCCGACATCAAAAATACTATTTTAATTCTGAGTAGAAAACAATAGTCACCTATTTCTTCAAACATGAAACGGTATAGAAGGGAAATGTTTGAAATTACCCGTCATATTTCATTAATTTTTTAGAAACATGGTAAAGATTCGAAGCTTTCACAGTTTTGTAGATAACAATAAGTCAAAAGTTTGTTTTATTAGAACAAAAATTTTTTCTATCTCTTTTTTAAAATTTTGATTACACTTGTAATACCCCTAACATTAAATATATTTTAATGGAAAAAATTTACGTTCAAAGAATACGATCAAACAAATTTAAATATTCTTTTTGTTGGACATAATATTAGCGTAATGCGTACACTCTGAAAAAAAAAGTTATTCTTACCCAAATTACAATAGCGGATTTCGAGTAAGGCAATTTTTGAGAGTAATTAAGATAAAGAGCAAAATATGTGCTATCTTTTCCTTTAAATTAATAAAATTTTAGTTATTGATTATAAACAGAATAAATTTTTCAAAATTTTGATGAATTTCATATTTACTTAACTTAATAGAAGCATACAAAAAAAATATTGAAATCTGCTTGAAATATTATAAGTAGAAATTTACATATATATATAATCTCATGAATCATCACCACTATTATTATTATACAGGATGTTTCGCTTAAGATAAGCAAATAATTTCAGGGATAATTCTTTGATTATTTTCTAGCAAAAAATCGTATGGATAGGGGTGAAAAAAAAATCCCAGATTTTTCGTGCCAACCCATAAG